CACCCAACCGATCCGTTACAGAATAAAAGATTACGAGTCGATAGACTGGTCTAAAGTAATGACATTTTATTGAAATCTTTCCGTGTGGGTTCCAAGGACTCATTTTGCTGTAAGTTACAACAAGAGACCTACTGATTCTAACCAGAATGTCATTTTTTTGCTGTAAGTTACAACAAGAGACCTACTGATTCTAACCAGAATGTCATTTTTTTGCTGTAAGTTACAACAAGAGACCTACTGATTCTAACCAGAATGTCATTTTTTTGCTGTAAGTTACAACAAGAGACCTACTGATTCTAACCAGAATGTCATTTTTTTGCTGTAAGTTACAACAAGAGACCTACTGATTCTAACCAGAATGTCATTTTTGGCTGCTAATGAAATGTGTGCTTCTGCTGCTTCGTCTTCCTCTTCGTCTTGCTGTTTTTCTTTCGTCGTCGTCTTCTTCCTTTTGTTCTTTTTGTTCTTCGTTTTCGCCTTTATCTTCATGTTCTCTGCTTACTCTTCTTCTTCTCCTTCTTTTTATTTTTCTATTTCTCCCTTTCCTTCTCCTATTTAACTGCTTCATCGACTTGGGAGAGGGTAGAGGGGGGGGGGGGGGGGTGGGGGGGGGGGGGGATGGGGGTTAAGAATATTCTGTGCCCCCTTTCCTATGTGAAGTCTAAGTTAGTCTTTAATTCCTTCAGTCTGTTCTTGAAGCTGCTATTGTATTGTCTGCGTCGTCTTCCCTTTGCCCTGTGACCATTTGTAATTGTTCCGAGTGGCTCTCTATTGAACTTATTTCAGGGCTTTCTCTTCAAATGGTCAAACCTACTGATGTGTTGCTCTTTAGTAAATTGTACAACTTGATACAAGCCTAGTCTTCTTAAAATTTCTTCAATTTTTTAAACTATCTCTTTATGTCATTCCGAAGGCTGTTCAAAGCCATCTCATCAAAGTTTTCATAACCTTTTGTGTTTTTTTTAATTAGTTTCAGCAAGGGTCCAAATTTGGCACTGATGGCATAAAGTTAACCTTAAATGGTGTGTGTGTGTGTCAAAGGCAGTGTTTTTTGTCCCAGGAACTAGTCTGCTTTAGTATATCGTGTCTATTTCTCCTATTACTTTTTCCTGAAAACTGATCCTGGATATTTCAGTGCACTTGCTTGTTTTATCTGCGTATCCTTTACATTTATTGGAATTGTTTCTAGTAGTCTGCTTATCACCAGTGCCTCCTAGAATTTCGAACTTATAGGTAGGCAGGTAGGTAAGTTGCACCCCACCAGGACATCACACAGGCGATAAACACCGTTAATACAAAGTGCTACCATGCGGATGAGGATCACCCACGGATAGGTTGCGGAAACCCCGTTCAGCCGTTAGGCCATATTTAAGGCTTTGCTTTATTTAGGGTCACTGATAAAAGCTAGGGTGGGGCTTCAATATACCTTCAAACTGCATCCCACGGAACTGAACTGACTTTCTACCCCACCAGGACATCACACAAGCGATAAACACCCGGTGACACAAAAGATCACCCGTGGAGAGGTCCCAGAAGGGGATGACGAGATAAATAAATTGCATCTCACAAGAAGATGTGGAGAGTATAAACTTTCAGATACTAACTTTTAAAAATTATATTTGTACTTGGTGTTCATTTGACTGAGATGTTTGTGAAATACTATTGTGTTTCTGCTATTAACACTTGTTCGTCTGCAAACATAACCCGTCGACCACCATTTTAACGGCAACCCAGAAGAGTAAGGTCTTCGTCGTACATTTTAAAAGCATTTTCCACAATATAGTAAATACATCTAAGAGAGATAATTCATCGAAAGCCTTCTAAACAACAAACAATCAGCGAATAATTTCCCTTTCAAATGTTTGCTGTCAAGTAAGTAAAGATGACTCTTTCAAACGCCTTCAAGTGTATTGGGCACATAGAGCTAGACCTATATTTTACAGACCAATCTGCTTTTGGTGCACCAGCACCACACCGTATGCCTTTACTTCCCAGGACTGCACCTCGTACCCACTTAAGGCTTGGCCGACCTTGTCAATTTAGGAAAGGTGAAGTACTGTTGTTCGCGCCAGTGGCGCTTGCGGCATATGATGCCACTCGTTTTTTTTTTTTTGGTTGCTGTTGACGAAAACAGCATCACGTAACAATGTTTAGCACCTATTTTTTTTTTTTTACTTCGTGTTGACAGGGACGCCCTTTTTTTCCAACACACTCGCACAAACTCACACAAACACTCACACCCACACACATAATCACTCAGCCTGAAATGGCGGCAATAATTTTTTTTTCTAAAATGAAAACCAAAGGTGTGATATTAATTAAATGCATAATCTGCCGTCGATGTACTGGTTTAAAAAAAGAGGTCAGGAATTATGCCAATTATGAATTATGCATTCTCTTTCTCGTTTGGTTGTTTAATTCTTTCTGGACCCCTAACTACACGTCTGAAGGTCTTCCGTGCAATCTTTCGTCGGCTTACACCTTTTATACTAGTTCTTGGGCGTCCAAGTTAACACAGCCTAAAACGATCACCAGGAAATGACCCAAGAATTACACGTTGCAGGCGTGAAGTTGACCACATCACTAGAAAATCGCTCAAGAATTACAAGTTGCTGACATGAGGTTGACCATATCACCAGGAAATGACCAAAGAATTACACGTTGCAGGCGTGAAGTTGACCACATCACTAGAAAATCGCCCAAGAATTACAAGTTGCTGACATGAGGTTGACCATATCACCAGGAAATGACCCAAGAATTACACGTTGCAGGCGGGAAGTTGACCACATCACTAGAAAATCGCCCAAGAATTACAAGTGGCTGACATAAGATTGACCACATCACCAGGAAATGGCCCAAGAAGTACAAGATGCAGGCGTGAAGTTGACCACATCACTAGAAAATCGCCGAAAAATTACTAGTTGCTGACATGAGGTTGACCACATCACCAGGAAATGGCCCAAAAAGTACAAGTTGCCGGCGTGAAGTTGACCACATCACTAGAAAATCGCCCAAGAATTACAAGTTGATGACACGAGGTTTAACACATCACCAGGAAATGACCCAAGAAGTGCAAGCTGCAGGTGGGATGTTGACCACATCACCAGGAAATGGCCCAAGAAGTACAAGCTGCAGGTGGGATGTTGACCACATCACCAGGAAATGGCCCAAAAAGTACAAGTTGCCGGCGTGAAGTTGACCACATCACTAGAAAATCGCCCAAGAATTACAAGTTGATGACACGAGGTTTAACACATCACCAGGAAATGACCCAAGAAGTACAAGCTGCAGGTGGGATGTTGACCACATCGCCACTCTACTGCTGATTAGCATATAAACAACATGGGTCCACCAATACATGCTTAATGCGTCAAGTGCGTGGAAGGTTGTTGGGTCCAAATTCTACTTTGTGCCGCTAGGCATTGCAAGTCAACAAATGATCTGCATCCTAGCTAGGACATGCTCAGTGAACTGCAGTATTGTGGAGTTTCAGAGGTACCCGTGACACCTTGAATCCAACTTCTTCTTGGACGTCCGTAGCTTCTTAGTGTTTCTAATTGCGTGTTTTGCGCACCATGGTAGCAAGCGGAATATTTTCACATTTCGGATCTATCAAACCCTAAAAGATGTTTTCAGTACTTTTTGGCAAAGTAAAAATACTCAAAATTTTAAACCATAACTGGTGGTCCTAAGGACGTTATGTTGAGAAGCTCGCTCTCCTGCGAAATACGCCTGGCCAAATCAGCAGGAGCTGAAACCAAGGAGGAAACAGTTTGACTAGGAGGAAAGAAGCATTTTTTGCTTCTTTCCTCCTAGTCAAACTGCTTCCTCCTTGGTTTTAGCCCCGAGACATCGCAAATACCAGAACTTTAGCCACGAAAGTGGCGCAAATAAACAAGGCCACAAATATAGCCGGAGACTGTTGACTGCTTCGTCTAGCTAGCAGCAGGGTTTGACATTTTTCTCAAAAGGAATTGGAATTGGAAGTGCGCTCTCGTTGTTGGCATCACTTTTTGTTTTACAATTTGTTTGTTATATGACTAGAATATTTACTGTATTCTTTGTTTCTCCTTTCTTTCACTGACAATCTTTTTTTCTTTTGTCAAAATCTGCTTGTGCCGCTAGGCGTCGCAGTCTATCAGATGATCGGCAACCGAGCCAGGGCGCGCTCAGTCGCTTCATATGCCGTGATGTTATGAAGTCTCAAGTTGTCAGTGACTCCTTCAATCCATATTCTTCTTGGTCTTCCCCTGCCTCTTGGTGTTTCGATTTTCATGTTGTATGCTCTTGATGCTGGCATCGTTGGTTCCATTCTCATTAGGTGACCAAACCATTTCATTCTTTGCTTCTCAATAAATTTAACGATGGGTATGGTTCCAATAGTTCTTGTAATCACATCGTTTCTCACTCGATCTCTTCTGGTTTTATTCGCAGCCATTCTCAAACATCTCATTTCACAGGTGGTTAGTCTTCTCTCGTGTTCTTTTGTTAATGTCCAAGTCTGACATTGATAACCTAATGTCGGTATAAAGATTGTATTTATAACTTGTTTTTTTTTTATCTCAGCTGGGACAGCAGGGTTTTTAAAATTGGGGCAAGCTGGTATGCGACATTGTTGGCTTGTTGGATTCTTGCTTCGATCTCTCTGTCTATTTTACCATTGAATGTAAAGATACTTCCCAAGTATTTAAATTCTTGCACTTGTTTTAGGCTGTGATCTAGAATCTTTATGTCGATGGTCTGTTGCTCTCTACTTATGCTCATGACTTCATTCACTGACAATGAAGAGGGGAAAAAACAGTATAATTTACTTTGTATATCTCAAAACTTCTTTTAATATCTCAACTCAATAATGTAGACTAGACGATATTTAATCTTGTAAAAATGAGAAAGAATTAAAAATAAAAGAATAAAAGAGAAAGCAACGGCAGAACTTCAAATGCCAGCTTTCGCTTGAGACGCCAGTTAAAGTATCAAGTCGCCATTTACGCACGGTCAACTTAATCGGCTCTTCGGTCGCCGTCACCAAGTGAGCCAGGTACACCAGTGGAAGCACGTTGCTGAAGCTTCGCCTTAGCGCCCGTCTCATGGTAACACCTAAAACAACAGAAATATAATAAACAATTATATTCTGTGCTTCCCAAATAGCCCCCCCCCCCCCCCCCCCCCCCCAGGATAACGCCACATGACAGTCTAATATTTTCGAGAAAAGATATAAAACCGAACAAAAAAGTAACATTAGCAAGCTTCACAGTAAAACAAATAAAAACAAAACGAGAACGTTGCGGCTATGGAGCCTTCCTCAGCAGATACAAATCAAACAATACTACACAAATACACAAAATCACTTAGATGGTATCTCGAAGCAGCCGGGTCGATGGTTTTTCAGCAAAATGCCTACACGTCTATCTGTCTCTCTATCTTCTTTTACCCCACCAGACATCACACAAGCAATACCCGATGGCACAAAATGCAACCATGTGGATGAGGATCACCCGTGGAGAGGTCCCAGAAACCGCGTTCAGCCATTAGACCAGTTTTATGGTCGGGCTATATTGCGTCAACGGTGGTAATAGCGGATTTCCCGGCTTTCTTGTGCTTTTAAGCTAAGGGAATGGTGTGACACTGTGAGATGTGCATTTCGTGTAGAATACTTTTTGACTGTGCCCAGGGTAGTGTGTGCTGAGAACTAGTTTAAAACAGAGGATGGCCTTTGGCGACATAATTGACATAACCATGAGAAGATACAACATGATGGAGATCCAATGCATTCAATCACTTCTGGAGATGGCATTTGTTTCATTGATCATTTTCATGCAAATTTCCTGAGCAATTGCTGACATTTTGTAACATCAAGGAAGATTGGCTAATAAACAGCATCCTGTCTCGGAAGCTGAAATATTTTGGTCATATTAAGCGCCACTACGGACTGGAAAAATGTATAGCAGAAGGCATGGTAGAGGGAAGAAGGGGCAGGGGGAGACCAACACAAAGATGGGCACAGGATATAAGTGACTCCTTGAGTATGAAAGTACATGAGACGGGAAAGCTGGCGAGAGACCGAGTTTCTTTTAGGCAGACCGTGATGAGAGCGATGTTCTACAACGAACCTGCTACATGATGATGATGATATGCTAATATTTTAGCCGGAACCACAGTCTGTTTTAATGTTTTCACAAGGACAGTGATAGTCGTTCTGTGCGGCTTTTGCTATCGCTGGAGGAAAGTAAATTATAAAGATGGCCTGTTAGCCGAAACGTTAGGACTCTGACTACCAACTAATAAAGACTAAACGAGCTACTTTATCAAGATACTCTCAGACTCTTCCACTGCACCAGTATAAACATTGATGTATCATAGATCATGGACTGACCGTACAGTACTGTTAAGCATGCATTACATTTAAGAAATTGTATTTGTAGTGTGCTGACTTTCATCCTCACAGATGTCAATAACAGCATATTTGTTGAACATCTTCTTCTTCGTCAGCATTCTGAGCCTTTGAGTTTCATTGCTGCTGATATCAACCGCCAAAGTTCCTCTCTCTGGTTAACCTTCTCTTTCCAGTTGCTGACACAAAAGTTTGCAGGTCTGTCTGGACTTTATCTCTTTATTGTCTTCCGGGTCTGCCTCGTGGTCTACGACCATTTATCTCCCTCGTGTATATAGTTTTTACTTCTCTGGAATCTGACATTCTTTCAATGCCCTAACCATGTCAGTCTATTAGCTCTCATGATACCAGTTGTCAGTGGTGATTTAAACATATTATGGATTTCGTTTTTGCTTTCAACTCTAAAGTTACCGCTATTTGCATCTTTGATGGATCCAAAGATTAGTCGTAAGACTATGTTTTCAAAAACCTGTGATAAGGCTTCATCTCTCAACGAAACAAAAGATAGACCTTAATACAAAGTGCAGGAAACAATCTAGGGCTGGACAACCATGACAAGACACAACATGATGGAGATCCAATGCATTCAATCTTACTTCTGGAGATGGCATTTGTTTCATTGATCATTTTCAGAATTGTTAACTGTGCCAATACAAACAAGTGAGGAAAATAAAGTAAACACCCACCGTTCCAACTGGCTAGCCAAGATGGTGCTAACTCCCAGAATAATGGTTGTCAGTATTCCAGCCGCACTAGCTCGGCTGAAACAGTAATGTAATAGACACGTCTAAAACAACAGATTCAAACATGGTTAAGGTAACAATTTGAAACAAAAACGCCTCGCGTGTTTTGGCACAACAGGAATATTGTTCTAGACACCTATTTATAGACTAACTTGCACTCGAAAGGCATCTCCGCAATACACCACATTTCACTGGTACCATCGGAAATGGAACACTTTGCTGGCTGCTGATGCTGAGGGCAGATGCAGTATGGGAATGCCCTGAGTGCTGTGGTGTCGGTTCTGGCCTTCAACTCAACTCAGCCCATGCAAGGTGTAACAAGTAAATGTGTGGTGGGTTAACTATACTGAACGAGTTCAAGACAACAACATGGCACTTCCAACAGGATTCTGCCAACGAGGCACCACTTACATGACAGATAATCCGAAGTAACACATCACAGACGATGTTCCTAGAGGGTGGTAGTAGCGGTCGGACGGGCCAGGAAAAGCCGTCTTTCTCGGGACGTCTATTCCAAAGTACTGACCTGCAACAGAGAAATCACCACAGTCTAGGGGAGATAAGAGGATGCCGTTGAAACAGAATTACCGGACATTTTTAGGAAAATAAATAAAACCGATGATTGCAAAAAGAACTGAGGGGGAAAGGGAGGGGGGGGGAGGGAAAGGGGGGGGGGGTAGGAATTGAGATTTCCGAATGAAGACATTTGAGAAAATAAATAATGAATATATGATTGTACAAATAATGAAATGGCTATAGGAAACCAAATTATGACTTCTAAGTATACAAATAATTATTGTGATTTTAAAACATGTATTAGGAATGATTACAACTGTTTTAGAAAAAAGAAAGAAAGAAAGAAAGGGAACACAACAAGCACAAAAACAAACATTGAAAACTTCGGACTTAACAAATAATGAGGTTATCTCAGAAAAATAAAATTATAATGAAGTTGCTTCATAAAAGAAGTTAAGAAGACGTCTAAAGGAACAAATAATCAAGCCATATGTGAAAGCACTTAATCCCCACTTTTTTTTAAATTAATCATAACGTCTAAAACAAAACACAAATACAGAAGGCGCCCCTCCCCCCCCCCCCCCCCCCCCCCCCCGCTTAAAAAAAATAGACCCTCAAGAAATTAACACACACACCACACACACACATACATATATGTATAACACATACACATACACATACACACACACACACACACACACATACACACACACACATACAATATATATATATATATATATATATATATATATATATATATATATATATAGACATCCAAGGAAAAAAATAATAAAGAAGTCATTGAACAATCAGTGCATTTTTTTAAATTTTCAAACCAGTTTAATACTTCAAGAGACAATAAGTAAAAAAGTAAATGACATACCAGGAAGTTTTCAGCCTATACAAAAGTTGTGCTACCCGCTGTTCGCTCTTTAGTGGATGCAAGTTTACAAAGCAGATTTCAGCTTCAACAATAGTTGTAATGCCCTTTGTTCGCTCTTTAATAAATGCAAGTTAACAAAGAAATTTTTTTCAGGCTCGTCATAATCCGTAAACATCGTGTGTGGTTTGGTCACCACATGCTTTTGAATGACTGGTCAGTTCTCTCCACCTCTGTTGGCCAGATATGGACCCGATGCTTGCATGCTTGAGGCCTGTACTTTGTTGAATGGGTCTTTCTAGGCATGCCTCTTCTCCGCTTCTGCTAGCTAACCATGTTAAATCGATTTGATGTCGCTCGTAGATCATGTCACATGTCCTCACCATTGCATTTTTCTTTTGTTCTTGTTGTTGCATTTTTTAAGCTATGAACTGGTCTGTTTATAACCAGGTTTTTTTTTCGAACAGATTTCATTTCCAGTGGTATGAATGGTATGGTCCTGACTGGATATTACATCTACATGAAGTCTGAACCAGACATAGATATTTTTAAGGCTAGTGTTCCTATATGACTAACCAGCTGACGCAGTATCTGATACCATCATCATACACCATGTCTATGAGTCTAAAAGCTCATAGCTCGCCATTCTAAGCGATCACCAGAATCAGAGATCAGTTAAAAATCCTTCTCCTGTCCATGGCATATAATGAACCCATAATTACGTAAATCTCGTTGTCTTCGCGTTGCTCTTTGATTGCTCCGTGTAGAGTGGCAAGCATCACTCCAAAGGTCCCGGGTACTTAGCATCCTTTAGATATTTTCTACAGGTAATGCCGGTGTGTTGTGAAATGAGCAGGCAGATAGACTGGCCGGTTCTGCACCACTTGGTGGTGAACTGGTGTATAACAAGCTGGATATTGTGAGGACACTTTGGGAGTGAGTAAACAGTGCCGAGGCACGGAAAGATCATTTCGGCCTGAGGAGAATGGCACGACGTGGAGTTACAAGGGTATCTGACCGACGCTCGACACTCAGGGGAAAAACGAGACGGATATACAATCAGACAGTTACTGGTACCATCGACATTTTAAATCTTTGTTTGCTGCTGAAAATGAGAACGGAGCGCTAATGGGGGTGTCCCGAGTGTTGTGATGTCGATTCTTAATTCAGCATTCATCATTTTTTTTTTTTAAAAATATCGTTTGTCAATTGTTATAAGTTTTCAAGTCTTTTCATAATAGGTCCCAGTTTTCTTCGATACACTTCTGTTTCTTGGATGTCTGTGGCATTTTATGTCTGACGGTGGAAATCTGTGTATGTTTCAACACGTGTCTTGTTACTTGTTATCAGTATCAACATCCTGGCACATCGGAATTACCCGATTGTTTCACAAAAACCACATACTGCCGGCACCGGACGCCTCCGAGCTTGTCTGCTTTTTGCCCGGGTTTAAAATAATAGGGCTTAGTAGAGAAGAAAAGGGGTAGAGGCCGACCAAGGAATACCTAGTTACAGAACTTAACGGACTAGACAGCCTCAGGCATGCAACCATGAAGGCAACTGCATCTGAACATCTCAGGTGGGGGGAGCTGATCAAGACAGTAGCAGCTGATGACTCAGCCACACGTGGTGTTACAAGACGACGAGAATGATTACTCGGTGGGTGATGAGGTGAAAGTCCCGTCAACCGCCTCACCTTCGCAGGCCATTACCTGGGTCGACCTGGGAGCCAAGGTCAATTTTAAACAATAAATCCACCATGGATTCAAACTCAGTAAGTTTCGGCCGGCAAGCGAGAGTCTAAGTAAGATAAAGGAGCACCAAGTCTCTATATATACCCACATTAACAATCTTACCTCCCATTATTGAGGCTATGGAGCTGGTCATATGAATATGTGCCTTGATAATGAACCCCGCCAGTGCAAACACGTAGCCGACCAGTAGAGCCTCATTCCTTTGGAGGTCTCGCATACGTGGCTGGCTGTTTACAGCCTTCTGAAACCTGAAACATTCAACAAAAACACTGTGTCCTAGCTTTATGTATATACAGTATATATAAAACATAACCCTTGACCCGTTAAGGTCGCTGAGGGGTATCGATGGAAGCGCTAGCACAAACAACTCACCACCATCCCCATCCAATCCCCCATACTCACAATTTTACTCAAAATACAATCTTTGCAATCAAACCATGCCTTACTAAGTGCCCGAAATAAACTAGCTTGTGACGTTTTATCACTGACAAATTAGGCTCATGATGAACTGCTTATTTGGTCTCTTACATATTTATTATGTACTGATATTATCTATTTATCTGACATTATCTATATTATCTCGTCACGAAACAGATATCTAAGCCTCGATCTCAGATGGATTTAAACGGGACCAGTTATCAGTCAAGGTAAGATTGAATACATGATAATAACTAGACAAGGAAAGGATATAAACACCGGCCACATACAAGTCGATATTATGAAAATCAAACGAGCGGAAACATATAAGTACATGGATGCAAACTTCAACTGTTCTAACATACTGAGAGAAGAAATACAATCTAAAATACAATCTGGAAATAAAGTAAACTATGGCCTCTAAAGTCAAAGTCTCTACCTGGCAACACCAATTTCAAAATATATAAAACATGTTTAATGACTCTGAAACTTGGAGCACAACTAAAAGCGATAACGGTTTATTACAGGTTTTCGAAAACAGAGTATTACGACACATTTTTAGACCTATTAAAGATGTAAACAGCGGGGAATGGAGAGTGGGAAGCAACAACGAAATTCATAATCTGTTTAAATCACCATTGATCACTGGCATCAACATGGTGGGGTCTATTGAGAGAATATAAAATACCAGAGGTAAAAACTGTATATACAGGAGAGCTGAATAGTCATAGACCACGAGGCAGACCAAGAAGACGATGGAGAGATAATGTCCAGAGAGACCTGCAAACACTTGGTGTCACCAACTAGAAAGAGAAGGCCAATCAGAGAGAGGAGGGTGATATCTGCAGCAATGAACCTCAAGGGCTGGGAGTGCAGAAGAAGAATTATCTTCTATAAGTTATTATTTATTGTAGAAGCATGCTAGAACATTATATTGTCTCTACAGTGACTAAGAAAATATGGGGAGTTTCTTGATAATCAAAAAACTTAAATAAAATGTCAAAACACTGAAAGAGAAAGTGGAAATACTTACAGGAAAAAGGTCAAAACGCTGTATGATATTGAAAGGATGCAGTAAATACGAAACGTCAATTTTGTTCCCAGGTGGTGAGTCATAACGTTGCGGAACCGCCCCTGACCTACAATCTGTTCAATTAAAAAAAAAAGAAGAAGAAAAACAATAGGCTTAATGTCCTCACTGTTACATGATACATTACAACCATAAATATGTCTTCAAATAAATAGCATCTTTCCTCCAAAGTCAACTCTTGCCTGCCGAAACTAAAGAGCTTGGTTCGAATCCGTATAAGGCCCTTTTTTTTTGGTTAATTCGCACAGAAGTTGCAGATTCATTTGGCTTTAAATGGGTACCGAATTATGTATTGGGTATATAGGGCTAGACGTACATTTTGCAGACCAATTTTTACAACATCTAGCCTATCAATACTGAAGTGCACTAACTTAGTCAAGGCAATGAACCTGAAGCCTTTCCAGCGATTGTCAAAGTTAGAAGGATCAACCTTACTGCAGTGAGTTTTCCCCCTTATGGCTCGGTCTCGCCTATGAAACGAACCAAAAACCTCCAGGGCAAGTGGCTGAATTAGTTTCTCCACTTCCCCACAGAGACCCTTCCGTCTCTCCCCGACCCCTCCCCCACTACAATGAAGAGGACATTAAACTATAAATACATCGTTTCGAACATATTAGAATTGAATGAGAAACATATATTTTAACATCACTGAAAAAGTATTTTGAAGATAAACAAAATGTTGTTTAATAATCTTAACCTGGCAACTATACTTACCACACATCTATGGAAGGGTTCGAAGACAAACATCATCAATACACACCAGAACAGGGGCTCAGAAATGTTTACATTAAAGGTTTGTAGCAGCCTCAGCTGAAATTATTACACAATAATTAATGTAAATAATCAAACAGCTGATTTTATTGTAATAGAGAAAGGCTGTGATTCGCGTGCCTGTTTATCTCATCAAATAACTAATATAAAAAAATAAAAAAATTTTAATGCAAATGCCAACAATCCTCTTTTTCTTCTTTTCTCTACTCCTGAAATGCCTCGAGGCGTCAGGACAGAACGAGATTTCTGGAACAGGCTCTTTTGTTAGCTTCGTATACAGTTCTTGTCAGTGTCTTTGATATTTATGCGGTCCATGTTCTGCGTGGTTGAACTCTGGCTCTGTTACTGATGTATTTGTATAACAATGCTCTCTGTGGTGCTCTGTCTGATGCCAATCTTGTTACACGCCTAAACATGTCATTTGTTGTCTGCTTATAAAGTTCAGTATTGGTTCCGTGCCGACTCTCCTCCTAATATCATTGTTCCTAGTTCGATCTTTCCTCGATCTTTCCTTGTTACACATATAAGCACGCAAACATTTACTTTCTGTCGTGACTACTATGCCGACATTGCGACGAGAAATCTTGACTGAACAAGCTATCGTGACACGATTGTCGTGGATTTAGTCCAATCGTTTACAGTTGTTTTCTCTGTAACCGTGGGATTGAAATTCAAGACTGAGCCTCATGCGCCGCTGGATCGATAACAACAACAACAACAACAACAGCAACAACAACAACAACTCTGTAACCGTCTCTGTCTGAGGCGATGCGAACGCGCTACGTAATTCCGAGGTACCTGGTTCGATTCCACCTAGGGGTGATTTGGCAGCTGACCGCCTTGCATGCTTTTCGACAAGTGTGTCGAGAGCGATCGTTTCAGTGACCTTGACAAACTTCTGCGCGTGCCTTTTCAAACCAAAGCAGTAAACATATGCTGGGTTTGGTTCTGCACGTCCTCTTGTTACTGTGTGTAATAGCTGCCAGTCTAATACAGAGGCTCGCAACCTGTAGGTCGCGACCCTTTTGTGGGTTGAATGACCCTTTCACAGGGGTCACCAAAGACGACAGAAAAACACATATTCACTGAAGGGTTAGTTTCACGTTAGTCTTCCCACACAATGTAGGTCACATTTCATTGACAAGTTTGATGGGCTGGTCTACTTTCCTGCAGGTTACGGATGTGCCGCTCAGTTTTTTGCTTTCTGGGTTGTCTTGCATTAATGTTTTTTGTTCCGAGAAAGAGAGTGCATGTGATATCGGCTTCATCACTCTCTAAAGAGGATTTTGTGTTAGACCCAGTTTGTCGATGTTTCTGGAGTGTTAGAAGTGCTGTCGTGCTAAAATATACAACAATATCAAAGGCATTGCAATCAGAAGTGAGCTAGGCTGAAGGTCGACCAATCAGAAGTGAGCTAGTGTGTAACAGTGTGTAAATGGGAAAACTAACGTTAGTTTTACCCACTGAAGTTATAAAGTAGCAGCGATCATATTTGTATGGTTGGGAGTTGCAATAATATGAGGAATTGTATTAAGGAGTCGCGGCATTAGGAAGGTTGCATGCAAAACAACAGTTTACGGAATGATGATGATGATTTAACATGATCAGCTATTTAAATGGATACGTTTATGAGAAACCCTATGTCTTTGAATATCTCTTTAGAAAGTCCATTATTGAGCCCTCTGCTTTTTGCATTACAAGCGTCGGTTCGTTGTTGCACAGCCAAGTTCTATTAACGACTTTAAATTTAACATAAATTCTTGAGAATCATCGCCAGGGCTATAGAGTTTGTGCTTTGTGAAACGCGTTCTGCAGCTGCTTATCGGTTCTGAGAAAACACACCAAACAATATATGCTACAGAAAAACTGAAACAGTAAAGTTGATCATGTCTTGAAAGCGAATCATGTATGTCTGTATGGAGTTTTACCCTACCAGGACTTTACACAAGCCACAAACACCCATGGCACAACGTGCCACGTTGCGGATGAGGATCACCTGTGGAGAGGTCCCAGAAACCCCGTTCAGGCGATAGGCCATATTTCAGGCCCGGCTTTATTTAGGACGCCCGGCACAAGACTGGGTGGGGCTTCAAAATAACAAAAGATGCCACAAGAGAATGACGAGATATTATGTATATGAAATATTTTTTTTTAAAGTTAATAATTTGCTTCATTCTCCTAAATGCTATGGAAAACAGCGCGGAAAAATAACGCGGAAATCTAGAATATCACGGTCTACAGAGAATGATGCTGCTGGAGTGACCGACCTCGGCACTAGAGGACATGCAGGATAAGCATACACCTATACTAATACTTATATAGTCGAAATTAGAACTATGCGGTGGCTTCTGAAGTAGGAGATGCAGCGGTTATGGAAATGTCCCTAGCGCTGTGTTGTCGGTTCTCTAGGCCAGGGTTGGTTTTCTCCTCTGTAATGCACAAAAGTTGGACAGTTCTGGAAAGACCGGGAAGTCGCTCAGCAGAGCGGCTAGACGCTCGCCTGTGGATCGTAAGGTCGGAGGTTCACTTCCTCGCGGTGCCAGACTTTTTTTCTTTTTAAAATTACCTTGGCTCCCATGTCGACCCAGCTTTGAGTGGGTATCAGGTGCAGTCCCGGGAAGTAAAGGCGACCTGCGTGATGCTGACCACATTACCTATCTTTTACCAATTGGTCTATAAAATATAGGTCTAGCCCTATTTGCCCTATACGCCTAAAAGCGAGCAAAAGGGACCGTTACGTACTTACTGTAAAGACCACTCGTTGGCCATACATCATGATCCCTCTCGCGGTTTGGAATAAAGCACGCTAGCTACAGAAGCTGCAATATCCGTGCTATGTCTGCCTGTCCGTCCACTCACATTATTCTATTTTTGTAACTGGAGCTGAATTTATTCATGAGGAAATAGTGCGGTTATTTCCCCTTTATTGTATCGAAAGTTAAGCCGTAACTAAGATAAAATCCTATGCAATGCTAACTGCATCCACCAGTTAAAAGCTAGTTAAGTATACTGTACAGGACGTTGCAGAGCCAACGCCAGCATTAATTGGCTGATGTGGGTTTTTTAGGCAAATGTTACTTTCAATAGTTTGCCACTGCTTACTGTAGAAGCAGCTCTCCGAATCAGATTCGAAACCAATGCAAGACAGTATTCTGCTTATTCGCAAGCAGCTGAGATCTAACCCGGTATCTTGGCATTACGTAGCGCCTTCGTAACGCCTAAGCTACAGACACCGATATACAGTGCCCATTTGTACATTCAAACATTCCCTCTGAGGGTCCTGGGCACTCGTTTTGGCGGAAACGTCATACACCCACTAGTTCTAGCAAGAATCTCATTAAAAACAAAAACAATAATTAGGTGTGTTTCCTTCAAAGTCGGAATGTATCCGCTCAGGTGTGGGAAGCCAACAGTCTTTACCCAAAAGACCATATATGTGAAAGTGATGTGGAAGCGAAACTCAAGTCCTTGAGTACGACCCAAGTCTAGAAGTGGACAAACAGCCAGAGATTTCCGCAGCAGTTTGCGGGCAGGGAACGGTAAGGAGGAGAAGAAGAAATATTAGCACCAGAAAATAATACTACACCTATAAATAACTGGTGTCATTAAAGGCTAAACCTTGCGAGCTTTAATGAGGAGCGGATCCCAGCAGGTATACAATGTGAATGAAATATCAACTAACTAGCTAGATAGCTAACTCTAGCTAGCTAACTAACTAACTAACTACTAACTAACTAACTAACTAACTAACTAACTAACTAACTAACTAACTAACTAACTAACTAACTAACTAACTAACTAACTAACTAACTAACTAACTAACTAACTAACTAACTAACTAACTAACTAAACTAACTAACTAACTAACTAACTAACTAACTAACTAACTAACTAACTAACTAACTAACTAACTAACTAACTAACTAACTAACTAACTAACTAACTAACTAACTAACTAACTAACTAACTAACTAACTAACTAACTAACTAACTAACTAACTAACTAACTAACTAACTAACTAACTAACTAACTAACTAACTAATTAACTAACTAACTAACTAACTAACTAACTAACTAACTAACTAACTAACTAACTAGCTAACTAACTAACTAACCAACTAATCAACTAACAAACTAACTAACTAACTAATTAGTTAACTAACTAAATAACTAACTAACTAACTAAAAAACTAACTAACTAACTAACTAACTAACTAACTAACTAACTAACTAACTAACTAACTAACTAACTAACTAGCTAACTAACTAACTAACTAACTAACTAACTAGCTAACTAACTAACTAGCTAACTAACTAACTAGCTAACTAACTAACTAACTAAACTAATTAACTAAAACTAACTAACTAACCTAAATAACTAACTAACTAACTAACTATCTAACTAGCTAACTAACTAACTAACTAACTAACTAACTAACTAACTAACTAACTAAACTAACTAACTAACTAACTAACTAACTAACTAACTAACTAACTAACTAACTAAAAAACTAACAAACTAACTCATTAACTAACTACCTAACTAACTAGCTAACTAACTAACTAACTAACTAAACTAACTAGCTAACTAACTAGCTAACTAACTAACTAGCTATAAAACTAACTACCTAAATAGCTAACTAACTAACTATCTAACCAACCAACTAACTAACTATCTAACTAACTAACTAACTAACTAACTAACTAACTAACTAACTAACTAACTAACTAACTAACTAACTAACTAACTAACTAACTAACTAACTAACTAACTAACTAACTAACTAACTAACTAACTAACTAACTAACTAACTAACTAACTAACTAACTAACTAACTAACTAACTAACTAACAAACAAACAAACAAACTAACTAACTAACTAACTAACTAACTAACTAACTAACTAACTAACTAACTAACTAACTAACTAACTAACTAACTAACTAACTAACTAACTAACTAACTGAACTAACTGACTGACTGACTGACTAACTAACTGACTAACTGACTGACTGACTGACTAACTGAACTGACTGACTGAACTGAACTGACTACTGACTGACTGACTGAACTGAACTAACTAAACTAACAAACAAACTAAACAAACTAACAAACTAACAAACAACTACAAACTAACTAACTAACTAACTAACTAACTAACTAACTAACTAACTAACTAACTAACTAACTAACTAACTAACTAACTAACTAACTAACTAACTAACTAACTAACTAGCTAGCTAGCTAGCTAGCTAACTAAGTAACTTACTAATTTACTAACTAACTAACTAACTAGCTAACTAACTAACTAACTAATTAACTGACTGACTGACTGACTGTTTGACTGACTGACTGACTAAATAAATAACTAGCTAATTAATTAACTAACTTTTAACTAAATAGGTAATCTAAAATAGATGGCGCACAGGTTACTGACAGACAACAATCAACGCCACAGCCCAAGAACTTACCAGTGTTTGATCAGGCAAGTCTACTTGCTGACCTATTGCTCCAGCCTCTCCTGGCATGACCTCAGGCAGTGACCAAGGGTTAGAACGTTCAAACCGTAGTTGCTGTCAGTTGAACCAGAGAAATCTATGGACTGAAATCAGGTGTAAGAAATTATAAAATTTAAATAATGCTCCCCCCCCCCCCCCCCCAAAAAAAAAAAAAAAAAAAAAGTATTGCGCAATTTATTGCCTGGCATATTTCGCTGTATCTCTTCAGCTGCATCGTTACAGAATTAAACAGACAGATAATAAAGCATATAATGAATCCTTTTCTTGCTGAAATGCATAGACCAAGTTGTCGACTTGCTGTCCATCTATCAGCTGTAAATTCTAAATCAGTCATGCGATTACCATAGTAACTTCAAATTGATCACGTGATCTTTCTGATTACATAAGAAAGGAGAGTAGAGCTTTACTGATAAGCCTCAGTCACATTTAGCTTTGAATTACTTTTAGTTCTCTATGTTTTGTTTAGTCTAATTTTTTTTTTTTTTTTTTTTTTTTTTTTTTACAAAATTGTTTTGTTTCTCGAACAGAGACATTTGTCACAAAGCACAAATCCAACGCTAGATAGTCTCTCTTTTAAGACCAACAGAAAGGAGGGAAAGTATTTTAAAGCCAGAGGAGCGGCTGGTCGAAAGAATAAGAGCACAGGGTTGTTAGGCGTGAAGTCAGGGTTCGAATGTTTGGTCAGTTTGGGGATTGTTTTTTTCTGTCGACGAAAAAATTAAAACTCAACAAGCACAGTCCGTGGCGACAGCACTAGCCATGCTGCCGTAAATCTTCAGGGCTCAAAGACCCCCTGCCTAATCTACGAAAGTGGTAATTACAGACAGTAAGCGTCAGTATCTGAATTTGGGAAAAGTGAATGTATGCGCCTGGGATGTACGAAGGCAACCAGCTGGTGGCAATGTATCAGCAGGAAAAAGAACGGCAACAGAACAGGCAGATTTTAAAAATACTTTTTTTTTCCCTGTGCGGCCGAAAGCTGAACAGTCTTGAGGTCCAGTTCCAGCCAACAGTAAATGTATCTGGCTACTATCAAGAACTGCGTATGGCGATAGTATGAACATGGTCCATATTGACTGTCTGTCCTATTGCCAGCCCACTTTCTGCTCAATATTCTGTGTGCAGGGTCTGTATATGAAGTAAAGTGAAAAAAATGTAAAGATCCCTAATCACGCCATAGGGGCATTGGGCATATAAGAAGAGCGTCCCATATTTTTTCAGACCATCGGCACTAGGTGGATTATGTGGTCAGCATTACACCGGCCGTCTCTAGCTCCCCAAAACGGCCATTCTGGTACCCATTTTAGGCTGGGTCGACCTAGGACGCCGTATACCACGATACACATCCATGCAGCCAGCAGTGGGTTTCGATCGCGGTACGTTGGGATTACGAGTCGGACTCGCAACGCCTAAGCCACATTTACCCGGTGAAGGACGTCGGAAGACTGAGCACCGAGAGAAAGATAAATGTGCAGCGGAACTGATTGTAATCACCTTCTGTTATACCATAAAATGCTGAAGGTCAAATATGTTTCGGGTACCTACCCCTAAAGTAGCCTTTACTAACAACCGATAGTTTCTTTTTCTGTCCAGTGAAGCTTAGAAAAACAATCCTAGCCACTTTTCCTGTATCTGAATTTGCGACGCTCAAATTACGTGGTGAAAAATTGTCGGACTGTGACCCACGGGAGAAATATTTGGTGGTAGGTACTTAGAAATCGGGAAGTCCCTATATCAATCAACTAAAGGAGTTGTGTGCAAATTTCGATGCGACTAATTTCTAATGAGAAGGAGTAGATACCAACCTCAGAAGTCTCTTTTGAAACCCGAGATGGTAACAAGGAACAATAGATAAAGATGCCCTACCAAGATAACAGAAAGAGTTTTTCTATAAGAAGAAGCGCGTGATGAGGAGACAATAAGATCACCCGCTTGCCACTTTTCTCACACAAGCAGATCCAGAATTTCATAACCATGAATAAGTTGTGGACATCAGCACTGTGAGCTTTTGAAATATACATTTATGGGTGGTTCGTGTGAACTAGATGAGGACAGATACTCTAGTTGAAAGGGAGACAAGGAGGAGCGGGAGGAGGAGGAAGAAAAGAAGAAGAAGTAGTAGAAGAAGAAGAAGAAAAAGAAGAAGAAGAAGAAGAAGAAGAAGAAGAGGAAGAAGAATAAGAAGAACAGGGAGGGGGACAAAGCAGCAGCACCTGCAGCCGCCGCGATATACTTCACAAATGTGCATCAGTAGAATTATTTTTAGCGGTATTCGTAGTAGAAGCAGCAGTAGTAGTAGTAGCAGTAGTACTGGTAGTAGTAGTAGTAGTTTATGTTGTTGTGTTGTTGATGTTGTTGTAGCGAAGGTCATACTTGTAGTGGTGGTGTTAATGGTGGTAGTAATGGCTGTGGTAGTAGTAGTCGTGGTGCTAGTAGTGGTAGCAGTATTTGTAGTGCTAGCAGTGGTAGTAGCAGCATCAAGTTGATACTGGTGAAATAGGAAGTGGTGGTAGTAACAGTAGCGGTAGTCGTAACGGTGGTAGTAGTAGCAGTATTAGCAGTGGTAGTAGTAGTAGTAGTAGTAGTAGTAGTAGTAGTAGTAGTAGTAGTAGCAGTAGCAGTAGCAGTAGTAGTAGTAGTAGTAGTAGTAGTAGTAGTAGTAGTAGTAGCTATGATGCCAATATTAGTGGTGGCAGCGGTGACAGCGGCAGCAGCAGTAGCAGCAGCAGTAGTAGTAGTATTAGTAGTAGTAGTAGCAGCAGCAGCAGTAGTAGTAGTAGTAGTAGTAGTAGTAGTAGTAGTAGTAGTAGTAGTAGTAGTAGTAGTAGTAGTAGTAGTAGTAGCAATAATAGTCGTAGAGGTGCGGGTAGTACAAACAGCAGCAGCAGCAGCACTAGTGTTGACATTGGTGGGGACAAAATAGGGAGAAACTGTGTACACATCCCAGTAAAGATAAATAGAACACAAATGTATTCAAGTGAGATAAGAGACTGGATTTTACATTCCGTAATTTGCCATTGATCTCTGCATGGTTGGTTCTAGAAATCACAGTTGTAATCAAGGCGGTCTGCTGCCAAATCCCCTGCACCTGGAATCTAAACCGCCATCACGGCTTTATTCAGCACGATTACAACGCCTAGGTCACAGACAATGACTGAAGAAGCTATGCTGCCAACATTGACAATTACTGCCTCTGTTATACCACTGTTGCGGTGTAGGCAGGGAGGTCTTTAAGCCTGAGGAATTACGGCCGAATGGCTAGTGCTGTCGCCACGACTGTGCAGGTGAGGTTTCTATTTTGCCCCCGACAGAAAAAATCCACAGCCTAACTGAGGATTCGAACCCGGGACTACCGACAAGCTGTACATGATAAAATTAAAATTAGTGGTACTGACGCAAGAGCTCGTTAAAGACATATACTATATGTAAGTTGGCAAATCACAGTAACATAAATTGCAAAGTTGATGATTACCTGAAACAACTAACCGTGTTTGTGGCTTTATTGGAGAAGCTCACTTCAGATGGCCAACGTCTGGATAAACAAAACGGACAGACACAGACCGCCTTGCAGGTTAGCATCTAGCTACACACTATTCTCTGTCTCATTGACCCCACGTGTGGTGAATGTCTCTTGTTTGGGTGAGCATTTCTTACGGAAAGGAAATACCGTGATAAACACAGAACAGGACATCTTCAACAAAAGAAAAACAATCGCAACGATAAATGTATGCATACATCAATGTTTGATTAGAAACGACACTATATTTCCCCAATTACCTAGGTTTTCCTTAACTGGTTGTCACAAACCTATTTTGAAAGGAGTAACTTGGCCGAAGTTCGCCAGTATCCATTTTGAGGTTTGAGGTTTGAACCACGGATCAACATCATGGCAAACGTGTGTGAGCCATAAGTGCTCGGTTCTTCTTCTAACTTAAGTCTGTGTCCGAAGAACTCAGCAAAGTGCACAGGCTCTCTAGCACCGGCGAGGATCCTGAAACACTTTGGGTAGACAATTTTGCCCGGGCAGCGCCGTTAGGCTAGTCTTTTCGATTTCCAAACTGCCAAGGAATTTTTTACGCGTGCAACAATACACACGGGCATCCGATCTCACTACCCAGATACCAGAGGGAATTACTAGAAGTCCACGTGAAAAAATACCAAAAATAACCGGAGACAAACCCGAAACCTCTAGAACTCGAGGCGGACACCATGCGTCGAGACCACGCAGCACCCCTCCCCCCCCCCCCCCCCCCCCGGGGGTCCTTTTTTTAAGTGCTATCTTTGAACCTGCTTCAGTTTGTTTCAGATATAGTCAGCATTGTAGCGATGTTATTCCACCCCCCTCCCCCCTCCACACACTACCTTACACCCATTAGAGTTCCTCGTGTAGAATTTTGCAGTCACTAGAGAAAAGCTAGCTCTTGAAAGAAATGTTTTTACATATTGATTTTTTTACTTCCAGCTAGATTCGAAAGTAATTTTTGAACTAAATATGTTAAAAGTGTATTTATACATCTTTATCTCTCCGCCTTTAGGTCTCTCTCCCCCTCTGCGTATCTATCTATCTATCTATCTATCTATCTATCTATCTATCTATCTATCTATCTATCTATCTATCTATCTATCTATCTATCTATCTATCTATCTATCTATCTATCTATCTATCTATCTATCTATCTATCTATCTATCTATCTATCTATCTATCTATCTATCTATCTATCTATCTATCTATCTATCTATCTATCTATCTATCTATCTATCTATCTACCTATCTATCTATCTATCTATCTATCTATCTATCTATCTACCTATCTATCTATCTATCTATCTATCTATCTATCTATCTATCTATCTATCTATCTATCTATCTATCTATCTATCTATCTATCTATCTATCTATCTATCTATCTATCTATCTATCTATCTATCTATCTATCTATCTATCTATCTATCTATCTATCTATCTATCTATCTATCTATCTATCTATCTACCTACCTACCTACCTAC